GTTTCAAGCGATTACACTTAAAAGATTTTTTAAAAACCATATTTCACTGATCTTCCCTATTAGAGAGTGAACAACTAGAGGGCTTATTGATAATCCCCGCCCCAGCAAATGTTTGCTGAGTCAGTGCCTAAGGCGTGGCGTGGTCAGGACACTTACCTCAGTGCCTCAGAGGATTTAAATGAAATTCTGCATGTAGACTATTAAGCTGAAAGCACCAGCAACTATGCTCAGAAATAGAGGCAGCATCAAGGGAGTGACAAAAAATAATAAAATCCTGCCACTGTCCTTGTCAACCAACCATGAGCTATTTTAAGGAGCATATTAAGCATGCACTCTGCCAGTCAGAAGATGCAAACACTGTGCTATTAAGGGGCAAAATAAAGAGCCAAGGGATCTCAAGCTGGGCCCCAGGGTGTCGATATAGTAGTCAAACCAGTGGTTGGGTAGCAAACATGCCCTGCAGCAGAACCTCGGCTAAGTAATAACTTAGCTGGATTACGGAGCTAGGAGAGCTCGGAATCCATGACACTAAGGCATTCTGTGGCTACTATGAAATTAGCTATAGACTTAAAAGCTCTAAAATGAAGATTCAAAGGGACATAATCAATGTGAAAAAGTAAAATTTGGTTTTCACCTGGATGCAAGTGAGGACAGAAGAGGCGAGGGACTGAGTGAAAGAAACAATGAAGAAAATTGCTTCGGCTGTGTGGGTCTGAACATCGATATCTGGGGATCAGAAGTTAACATGTCCACTTAACGTGGACTACAGAAAAATTTTATTTGGATAGCCTGATATTTTTTTAAAGTTTACTTTGAATATTTTTAAGCAGGGCCAGTACTCTGCAGCTCACCTCTGGGTTCATTAATCCTATTACCTAAGATTTTCCTTCTTCATACTGTGAATGTGTGAAAGGTAAACGCCGTAGCAAGAAGGGCTGAAAAAAGGAACAAATGCACATACTGCTCCAGGAGGGGATGGGCTAGAAGGAAAGCAGGGCCAGGGGGCGATGGTCAGGAGAATGGGGTGAAAAGAGGTGGGCAAGGTGAGATGCTTCCAAGTCTAGATGCACAGTAGCCAGGTCACTAGCACAGTGCCCTTTACTTAAGGGCCGTGCGCTTCTTTTCAGGCTCAGATTGGCTTCTTGGGGTTCAGCTTGCAGGGCATTCGTGGGCAATACATTTGTGGAAGGCGCATTAATTCATCAGGGTGTGTATTCTGCGTGTCTAATGGCTCAGTGGCAATGGCTTTTACCTTTTACTTAACGTTCAGCAGGAATCAGCCCTGGACTGGTTTGCTCTGTAAATCAGGCCAGGAAGCCAGGCTTCTTCTATGTAGTTGCTCTGCGACCTGCACACAGCTGTCCTTGTCTATGTGACAGAAGGTGGTTCACCAGGACTTCCCGGCCCACAGTCACTTTCCCAGTTACTAGACGGAGGAGAAGCAGGTGTGTGGAGCCCTTAAGGACATGGCCTGGAAGCGGCACAAATGATTGCAGCTCAGTCTCCACTGGCTAGAAATTAGACACATAGACAGCCAAGCCTAGATACAAACTGAATATACATATATTCCTAGAGAAGGTCATTTGCCCAGCTATTGAGCTGGGGGGAAACGCTGGCAGTTGATTTACTGAGAGAGGATATTCAAACCCTCAGCAGAACAGATGAAAATCAGCACACGCGTTGGTGAAAAACAACAAGAATTTGCAGAAGATACTTGAGACACTTTTTTCAGAAAATGTCTTGAGTAGCTTTACAAAGCAGATGAAAACGTCCTAATCCACTGACGCCTTTCAAAAGCTAACTCAGCAGGTGATGGTGAATTAACTCCTTAGGAGCTTAAGCAAAACAAACATAAGCCTATTGTTCCCATATGTGCTTATACCACTGGCTGCCATAAAACAAAACCTTTCACGGCTGGGAAATTGAATTATCCTTGGATTAGGAAGCAGCTGTACCAGTTGCATGCCAACTCGGTGCCAAGATTGAGTCCTAGCCCTACCATTTCCTAACGTCATAACTTGGTGAGCCAGTAACTTTTATAAAACTATTTTTATTAATCTGTAGAATGTGGTTATTCACTACTGAAAAGAACTAGTGAAGATCTGATAAACTAATGCATATGGAAGAAGCTGGTTATTAGGTTTCCAAGGAGCATGAACCAAATCAGAACTCCTGTTGCTATTAATTGGGACAGCATCTATTTCTTTCTTTCTACTCATTTGTTCTGTTTACTTCTTATATGTCCACAGAATCAAAAACTTTGCAAAGTAACTCTACTGAAAAATTATTGAAACATATCTGTTTCTTAGTTATTTGTCTTAACAGATACTGAATGAAGTTGTTCAATTTGGCCTGTAATAATAAAGCTCCAGAATGAGATTGTGTAAAACTTAAACCTTCAAGGAAACAAGTAGTGAGCCCCGGTTAGTGGTGTATAACAGAATGGTTCCTGTTCTAAATAATTACGTATAAAATGTGGGCTTAGGACCCAAGCTCAACATGTCCTACAAAAGCAAGATCATGAGAACAATATCCTGTTGAATATATATTTTATAAACTCACCAGGTTCATAAACATTTTAAAGCTCCAGAATTAGTTGGCCTAGAGATACAAATATGAAAAAGCTCATGATAAAGGCACATTACTATATGAGTCATGTGAACAAACCTAGTTACCTTGGCCTGGTAATTAGAAAATAAAATGTTATTTTCCCTGGTTTAGGGACTTATGTCCAAGTTGAGGCTTCCTATAACGACCCCCTGTCATAAGTCACTCAACCTTTTGAAACAATTTTGTCTTTATTCTGGAAGATTCCAAGAAGTTCTTGATGAATATTTGGAGTATTCACATATTATCATACCTACTAGCAGATCTACATATAGAGCTACCATAAAGACCATTAGCAATGTTCCAAGCAGCAGGTGATTTACATATATTCTTTGTAATCCTTAAATGTCTGCAATGTAACTGTTATGACCCTCATGTTATGATGGGATTACTGAGATTAAAGAAGTTAAGTAATTTACTATCTTAGAGTTAGTAAGGCATGAAGCAAATACAGGGTTATTACAGAGAAAAAGCAAAGAGAAACAAGACCCTGAATGACTGCAATTCTATTGCTAAGAAACAACAATAACTTTTTAACTCAATCCAACACTGGATATAGAGTGGAAATGTGGAGTTTTTTGTTTAGTATCTTCTGTACAAATGCAAAACTCCTGAATTGAAAAGTAATACAGTATATAGGAAGAACATGGACAATTTTGCAGGTGTTTTCAGAATGGGAAGTAATTCAAAATAGCTTAAATAAAGAATGGCCTAGAGTCCCTTCCCATAGTGCCTTGGGGAAGCCTTTGTCTATTTATGTTGGGGTTTCCAGCCTAATATCTTCATTGCACTCATTAATCTTACAGGCTTTTAGTCCACCAAAAAAAAAAAAAGGAAACAAACCACACATTGGACCTGGAGGATGACTGAAGGCTTCTCAGAAATGCACAGTGGAAGTTGGCTTTTTTCCCCTTTTCACAACATACAAAGTTAAAATGTAATCTTCAGCTGCAGGCATGGTACCTGCTCTCACAGAAATATTGCTGATTATTGCCAACACAGAGGCAAGACCCTGTGGCATGAAGGCCACGAGAGAATGCGCCACAGACTCCCAGGATGTCACTGTTGAGTAACCCAAGCGAATGTGACTCACGGGCACACAGTGAGTATTTGGCTTGCAATCACTAGGAAAAATGTGTTAGAAAGTGTTCAGGCAGGACAGCTAGATCACCTATATCCAGTACTATCACCGAGTCCCTAGAACAAAAGAGCCTATGTTCTGCCATTTATAAACTAATGCCCTAAAATGTACTGAAATTTCTAAAGGTGTCAATCAGCCATCTGCAATTCCCCCAAACAAACGTCTTCTACATAAGTAAAATACATTTAAACATAACCTTACATAATGTTGAATATAATCTTTCTCCTAAAATTTCTTTAACTATAAATTTCATGGATAGACCTATATAACAAATAATGGCTTATATTATAATAGCTGTTATTTCATAAGGTCTTTGATATGTCTTCTATTTACTGAATATCTACTAGGTGCCAGAAAGAATTATAGGTGCTTTCCATTCATTATCTCTTATTACAGTGGAATCTTGCAGCAGCCTCATGGTACAGGTAAAAGAAAAGGGAAATGAGACTCAAGTTACTTGAGCTGCATACCAGTTGGCCATAAAGGGAGGCCTGACACTACTGCCATTAAAGTATCCCATCAGCCACGGCACAAACTTGCATAGAGGAAGCCTACTACAGATTTTCATTTTAAAGCAAAGGTGAATGGGGAAATTATAGCACACATTTCTTATGTCAGCTTTTCTATAACTTTCGGTTTCTTTGAAACACCATTATCTATGTAACTAGTCAAGGCTTACAGAACTCTCTGTCTTTTCAAGAGCAGTGAAAATATAAAGAACATTCCTTCACTTTGGTTTTCTATCTGAGGGAGCACAATTACGACTCTTTTTTAAATGTCAGTTTAAACTTGAGGGTCTTGCCCTCCGCCTGTGTTAATTCTTTGGCTCCTCACCTATCACATGACAACAGAAATAGTAGAGCATTGAGTCTAATCCCTTCTGCGCAACTTACTAGCTTCATGACCTTGGACAAGGTTTTAATTTCTCTGAACTTCGTTTTGAACATCTGTACTGTGAAGACAATACCTACCTTCTCCAGCTGTTGTGTTGATCTATTGACTAATAATATAAATAATGTAGATGCTCTAGTAGGACATTAATATTTAGCAAATTTGAATTCCCTGTTGTGGCCCAATTCTCTCAAGGAGCCATAAAATAATTATTACAAAATCATGAAAAAGAGTTGTTTTTGAATCTCAAAATTACATATTAGGTTACAAACTTTCATAATTCTTATTTACATGCACACACACACACACACACACACCACATTTCCCAAAGGCAAATGTGTTAAGAATCATTTTATCCTACCACAACATGAAGTAATTTCAATGTGGATGCTCCAGCTTCATTTGGTGTACTTCACATACAAGGGTTCTACATCTTGGAAACATCTCCAAAGGATTTCCCTAAATGAAATAAAGCAAAAATGCCTGTGAACATGGGGAAAAACTTAGCGTCTTCCAATAGTGCTTATCTCAAATTCCTCGCATCATGTTCCATCTGGCTGCTTTTGCTCCGATTTTGAAAAAAACAAAATTGCATACGCATTTCCAGGCTGAAGATCCCCAACTCCATCCAATGTACAATGTACCAGCCCTGATGACATTATTGCTTGCGTTTTCAGATAATTAATTTCATTTATTTGCTGTTGGAAATCAATGGGTATTCTTAAATAGATATTAGAAAACAATAACTAGGGTATAAAACTTCTATGTCAAACTGACTATATTTAATCAATGATCTAAATATTAGTAGTAGCCTTTAAATGAAGAGAAAAAGCATGCGAGCAGTCAAGTTACAGCAAATGTGACAGAGAAAGAAAAATAATTTGAATATTATAACTTTTCTCTATTTAAGATGCTGTGGATGTCATTCTAAAAGATTAATGCATAAAATGAAACCATGTTATGATACTGAAACATATTTATTTATTGCTTTAATAACTTTATTATGAAAAACACATAACATATATATTCTTGCCTTCACAACTTTTTCAAACAGAATTCATAAATTTACCAGGTATTATGCTCTGTTGCAAAAATGTAGCAATTTTTGGAAACTTTCTCTCTCTCTCTCTCTCTCTCTCTCTCTCTCTAGCTCTTTCTCACAAGCACACACACATTTACTTTACAAGTCAAATTTACTGAAAGTACACTGAAATCACATAAAATACAATTAAATCACATTTATTCAACAGCCCAGTTCTCTTCCTCTAGTAGCTATGTTGGTTTCATTACAACAGAGTCCTCTTCAAAATAAATAAAAAAATAATAAATAAATAAAACATTGGTTATGCAACCCTCACTAATGAAAATACTGCAAACCTGATTGTGTGAAAAGTAGCAAGCTTAAGGAGGCATGCCATAGTGACCACCTTTAAATTAGTCACTCCAGAACAAATACCATTGCTTCATTCTCCTGGTGGCTTCCTGGATTTCTATTTTTGCAAAAATAGTCATGACAATTGTGCTGGATGGCATAAGTGAGTCTCTCCAAAAACTAGATATGAAAATCAGTCCACAGAGTCCATCCAATAATACTCACATCTCAAGTCCTCTTGATAAGTTTCACCTCAAGTACATTCTTTGAAAAACGAAAACCACTCTCATTTGCCTCTCAGTAGAGGCCAGGTAAGAATTTTGTCAGTTTTTAAGCTATTGGTTCATAGCCCCAAACCCAGCTTCTATAATCGGCACTGAGGTTTTGGGGCTGGGTTTCTGCACACATTTCTCTTTTGCCAGCTGACTTCCTGTTAGGTTCTGAAATGGGGGCACTGCAGAGAGGCTGGCTTGGGGGAGGCAGGATGCGGGGAGCAAGGAGCTTATTCCTTCACATTTATTTGCTGGCAGTGTTGTTTTCACAAGCATCCTTTATTCTGTTAGCAGAAATTAGTCTGTCTACAGATTTCTCAAGCTCTTCTAGAACCAACTCATAGAGAGTCTGAGCTCCCTAAGGCCTCTCCACTGAGCTCCTGAGATACCAACACTGGCTGCATAGCACCACGCAAAGACGTGTGGTCCTCAGATCTATAGGGTTCTTCTCCAAGCTCCTAGTAACCCTAATTCTTCCTTTGGTCCCCAAGCACTAAGGGTGGAGCTGCTTCCTGCACCCACTCTCTCTGATTAGCATCAGAGGCCTCTTTCTCCATTCCAATTATCCAACACTTGTTTAACCCATCGTTTAAATTACATTTTCTTCATTTAAACAACAGATGTAGTTTCTGTTTTCCTCACAGGATTCTGTTATAGAATGTAGATTTTATTTTTAGATTGGATGTGGGAATGCTAGAGAAAGGGAAAGAGGAGGGGAAAGAGGACTCTAACATTCTTTGAGATACTTTCCATTTAATTTATTATCTAATCTCCAATATATCCTATGAAACAGGTATGATTAACACAATTATTTATATTCATAAAAAGAGTGGTAACATTTATTGAGGTCCTACAGTGTATTAATTTTTTTACCTACAGGGTGTCCCAAAAAATGTATACACATTTTAACAGCCGGTAGGTCAATTGATGTTTCTTTCTTTTCAGATTTAACCCATTGGAATATATAATTATTCAAAATATATACATTTTTGGAGACACTCTGTATTATTTCATTTAATATTCATAAACTTTCTGGAAAGCAATTATACTAGATCCATTTTATGGATGGACAAATGAAGTTGAAGCTAAATTTTAGACATTCAGTGAGCCATAGAACTGTAATGTGAATATAGTCAAAGCGCCAGCCCAACGGAGCAAATATGCTCATATTCAAGTTATTGACAGATTTAATTACACAATACCAAAAAATTACATTTAATATCACCATAAATCTCATCAGAAATTTTGTTGAGTATTGGAATGCTGTCAACCTTACGGTGGCATACAAAAGATTTTCAAAATTTTAATTTCCACTGGAAAGGTCAAATTTGGTAACTGGCAACAACTAGAAATACAAAATAGTTACTTTCCTTGATGTGACAAGGTTATTGTGTTTATTTTGTAGAAATATACACCAAATACCTAAATCTCAAAAACTCTACTTGGACTGTCAGTCACGCTTCCACATTAAAACAGTGTTACATGAAAAAGTGATTAACAAAAAAATGCAACTAAACTACAGAACAACCATCATTCAGAACTGCCTGAAATCTAGCTGAACAGAAGTTCTACAACTAGGGAATTAAAGAAAAAGCCACAGTGAGACTGGTAAGAGGGGCAGAAGTGAGGAATTGGCTGGTCCCACACCCACAAGTGGTGGATAAAAGTC